CAGTTATGAATACCTCTGGCTTGGGACAGAATGCTCTGAAGTATTTAACATCATTTTGTTGGTAGGTGAGTGGACCGAGTGATCCAGCCCCATTTGAAATTTCCCTGCTTGAAACTTCTATTGCTGTAAAGATAAAGAAAATATGTGAAAGTTTAGAACTGTGCTATAACTTGTGGGGATCCCTTACATCGGGAAACTAGATAGACATAAGAGGGAAAAAAAAAAAATCTAATACTGAGGGCCAGCTGCATCCTTTTCGGTGCTTCTGGGTTTGTATTTTAAAGGCCAGACAAAATGAAGATGAATTTTAGTTATGTACTTCAGTCTCTTGAAAAAAACCCTTTACATTTGGAGTATTTTAAACCATGGATGAATGTCTCCATCAGCCAGGGTCAGAGTGAAATGGAATGAAATACTGTACTGGTGTTCATGGTCTGCTCAGAAAACAGGAAGTTGGTGATTTAAAGCGACTCTGGCTCTTGTTATTTAATCCAGTGGGTTCAGATCTACTCACTGATTCACTTCTCTGCTGGTTCCATGTCTGACCTTTTGATGGAGAGGCAAGTCCAATTCAGTTCTCCTGTGATCTAATCAACTTCCCCCAATTACCTAAGCACACTCTAGTGTTATTCTGGTCAGATTCTAATTCCTACATACCTTATGCTCTTGGAACAGTGTTTATGGTCAGTTAAGATACTGTGCTATAAACTTTTACAGTTGATTCTGGTACTGAGAACATGGTGGGGCGGGGAGGAAGGAATGGGCTTGAGTGTTCTTCCCACTTACTTTTCTTCTGTCCTCTGATATGTGTATGGGAGCTTCAGGTACAAGAATAGATACCATAAATATAAGGGGAAAAAATGTTTGCAGTTAAAATAAATGTAGATGGGCTGATGAAATCATCTGCAAGGTACTGGACAGGTCAGCATGAAGTGTTGATTTTCAGTAGGTTGAGTAATGCAGTATCTTTCCCTTCATATATCTGAGAACAAGCAGACATGTCTGAAAGCCAGACCCAGCTACAAAGAAACCAGGTGATTCTTAAAGCTCTGGATGAGTGTAACCAGGGTGGGAAGCTTGCCTCCTGTAGGAGAGTTGGGGGCAGCATGGATAATCTGCTTTGGTTGAAGGGAAAAAGTTTTACTTTACATGATTCTGCAAATTTTCAGTGTCTTTTAAAGTAGGATACTGTTTTCTGAAAGAGAATTAGTCAGGATCCAAGACCTGAACTTGCATTGGAGACTGTGAGGACCATCAGCAAATGCATGAACGTGAGCCATACTGTTAAAGCCTCATGCAACACTCAAATACTCCTGTATTGATACTCCACTGCAAATTTTCCCCTACACATGGGAATTACAGCAAGCTTTTGTTATGGAAAGTGATGATTACAGCTCTATACTGTTTTTAATGTAGTTAACACGAAGAAATGTGGAAGAACGCAGCTAGTATTCTGATACAAGCCAGCTCTGTATGCTGTGGTTGAGAACTGCAAATCTCACTGAAAAAGTTTAATCACGTGAAGTGAGTATTTTAAAAGTACTTGTTAATTCTTTTTCTGATTGTTACTTATGGGCTGCAGGTCAGATGCATCATGCCTAATCATTTGAGTTAATTTAAGGGGAGAGAGTAGGCATAACGCTTTTGAAGAATGTTTCATAGATCACTAATTAAAAGCTAAGATGTGTTCTGAGTGTATGCACACAAGAATAGGTACTTTTAAATACAATCTTTAATGTTATCTGAGTTTTGTGAAAGATATTTCAGATTACTATCTGTAGACTGTTTTAGAGACTGGCAAATATTTTCTATAATAATTTCACTCAACTTTTTAGGTGGGTAGCTTCTAAAAAGTAGTATTATAAACTAGAATATTAATAATAAAAGAAAAAATCTTTGCATTGTGGCTCTGTTTAAGGTAGAAAACTGCTAGATCTTTCGTGTATCTTCCAGTTCCAGTTTTCTGTTGGGGAGAGACAGGGATGGAAGATTCCTTAATTCTTGTCAGTTTATTCACCCCATCTGGGATTGTAGAAGACGAAAAATTTACTGCCAGTATTATTAAAGATGAAATCACAGAAGTCTTTCAAACCCCCATGGTTTGGGCCAGTACTTTTCATATGGTGATTTCAATCTTGTAGTGCTTGTTTATTTCTTTGAATTGCATATGTTTAGAAAACATTTTTTTTTTTTTTTTTTTTTTTTTAAGTTCTTAAACGCTACTTGTATCACCAGCGTTGCAACTATTGCAGTGATTGAAACTGGAGAGGGAGGGGTAGGTTATAGTGAATGAAGAAGAAAGGGTTTGATTCAAATTACTCTACTTCCAGCCTTCAGAAGTACAACCTTGGAAGTGAATAAAGAGCTGGAGGGTAAATGTTATTTGTATCCATCTAGATAGGTTGTACTGTCTAGGGGGTTTGGCTAAAGGGATGATGAGTATATATTTGAGTACAAAAATGCTTGAAACTGAAATCCTAGTGAGTATTTAGAATGGCCTTTTAAGTCTGTTCTGACATTAGTTCAGATCATACCAAACTATTTTGGTCTAGGCTTTTTAGTGAAAGGTTTTTCTCTTACAGTGAACTCATCTCTTAATCTTATTTCTCGTAATATTCTGTGGATTCTCCAAGAATCCACAGGCATTGATGTGGCATTTGATTTGAAAAATGTTTCAATAATAACTTCATATAATCTGAAAAAGGGTGTTTATTTCGGTTTTGGTTAGCAGCCAGAGATCCAGGGAACCCAAACAATATTTATAGTGGTGAAGCTCATGACCGTTGTTATTTGTATAATTATGATTTCCAGAAGGAATACAGGATTTTTGTTCTTTTCCAGAAGCCATGCAGCTGCTAGATTTCTTTCCCTTTTTTAATCAGCTTTCTATATATTGCCTTTAACCTTTTTTGCTGACTTATTTGGAGAGCTCTTTATATTCCAGTTACTGAAGGTTTTAGTTCAGCCAATAGACTTTTCATCCACTCTTCTATTTTGATCTAAGTTTCTGTAATTTGTTCCCCTCTGAGTCCTCCTTCCTTTTTTTCTACAGTCATCTTTTAGTATTGCTTAGTTTTGTGATGTTGGGAATAGGCATACAAAGATGTGTCTGAAGCCAGGGACTACCTATGTCCTTCATATAGGGCAGCAGGCTTTGTAGAAGAGGAAAAGGTGAAAAATACAGCTTTGTTTCCACTTATGCATTGCATCCAAGATGCAGTAAAGAAGCTGGTCTTTTCAGCGTTGTCCTGTGAGTAAATAATTCTGTGATTAAAATTTATAAGGTTAACTTCTCTAGACTGTTCAGAGTCGTCTAACCTAAATGATTTCTTCTAAGCCGTGTCACATACTGAGGATGAAGCCCAGATCTGCTGAGTCCGATGCTTTGGTTTAGGATTCTCTTAATCAGTACTTGTGTATTTTGATTTCTTTCTTTGAGGAGTTAGAAGATAAATGGAGTGGGCCAGGATTAGAAGGTGGGCTACTAAAGGACATGCAGTGGTTAGAGATTGATTTGAGAACAGTTCTAGCTGAGTAAGACAGATATTAACGGCTCGAATGCAGAGAATTGCACTGAACACTTGACACAAACCTTTTGATAGCTGTAGAATTGGTACCAAGAAAAGGGAGAGAGAAGAAGAAATTACACTGAGAGTTGAGATCTGTTCTAGCAATGTTGTTGTTCTGCATGCATTCACAGTATAATCTATTGTATATTGATAAAGGCATACTAAAGAAATTATCTCTGGAACAGAGCATTCCCAGGGAGAATGTGGTTCTTGGATCTGAATTTTGAGTCCTCAGCCCTTCCAGAATATGTTGTGTATAACGTTTCTGTACTATGGACTCTTGTCCAAGTACTTAATATTTATTTAGGAGATAAATATATTTTTTATTGCCAAAAAAATAATTTCAGTATTAAAAGCCTGGTATCTCATATAGGGTCTTTAAGCAGAGTGGTGTGGTTAACTATCCACGCATCCTGCATTAGTATGAATAGAACGGGTGGCAACATAAACATATTAGCAGAAAAAAACCCATTTGCTGACACATCAACTGGAGGGGGGATTCATTAAAGGATGGTTTGCAGAACTGAAAGAAAAGCCATCATGAAGCTTTGTTAAACTAAACTGGCTTAGTCCGATCAAGCTGAACTTAGACTGATCTTTAAATGCTTATTTCATGTTTTTCTTCTCCTTGAAAACTGCTTGAAATAAATAATACAACAGAAAGCTCATTAAGGTCAAACTTTCGTAGCATTCATTTGAAGTGGTGGCCAGAGCTGCACTTTTGCTACGATAATCCTGACAGGTGGAACCCCACATTTTAGTGACAGTGATGCTGGCCATATATTTCTGAACATTCAAATATTTGCAAGAAAACTTCGAGGACTTTTTTTTAATACATGAAATATAGACTAGGAAATGGTAGTTTTTTTAATTACTAATTATTTTGCAGTGATAGTTTACAAGATTTCATTGTGCTTGGTGTTGTAAAAAACATTGTAAGGAAAGGTTTTTAAATTTTTTTACATTTTACAGTTGAATTCAACCAAGTCAAAGAAGTCTATGAAATTATTTTCATAGAAGGGGTGGAAAACAGTTACATAGGTGCACAGATGGGTATTGTAGTGCTACACTTGGTGCTACAAGGGGGGAGTACATTAAGTAAGCCATTCCATTATGTGAGTATGTCTGTTGTTTAGCAGGTAGTATGTAATTACTCCAGCACAGATGATGCAAGTATCAACATAATTGTGGCCATGATAACCTTAGTCTTATGAAAAGGAGTAGCTAAGAGGGTCAAACCTGTGGTAATTCTAAATGATGGGGTATGTTCTCAGTCTGTTCACTTTCTACTTTTTGAATTGTGGACTCTCCTAGAAGGTCAGTTGTCTTAAAAGAGAGTAGAGCGTGATACGTGGCATTGTGCTTGTGATGCACTCGTGTGCAGTTAATTGCTTAATTCTTTTTTTTTTTTTCTTGCTCTTTCATCAACAGGTGACAAAGAAAGTCAAGTCCATGCAGATGTTCCATACTCCTGTGACTTATGCTATGCAGGGTGACAGAGTAGGTATCTGCGTAACCCAGTTTGATCCCAAACTGCTGGAACGAGGCCTGATTTGCACCCCTGAATCACTTCACACCATCCATGCTGCAATAATTTCCCTGAAGAAAATCCAGTATTTTCGAGGAGCTCTTCAGACCAAGGCCAAGTTCCATATCACAGTTGGTCATGAAACAGTTATGGGAAGAGTCATGTTTTTCAGTCCAGCCCCTGCTGACTTCAATGAAGAAATTAAAGAAAATGTTTTTGATTTTGAAAAAGATTATCTTTATCAAGAGGAATATTTGTCCAAGGACTCAAACTCTTCAGAGGAGAACAAAGAAAATGACCAGGCAGGAGTCCAGCTCCCAAGACAACAGTGGGCTTTGCTAGAGTTTGAAAAACCAGTCACTTGTCCTAAACTGTGCCTTGTGATTGGCTCCAAGCTGGATACAGATATTCACGCAAATACCTGCAGGTTGGCATTCCATGGGGTGCTGCTCCAAGGCATGGAAGACAAGAACTACACGGAGACTTTCCTTCCAAAGCTGAAAGTGTACAAACTGAAGCATAAAGAAGGACAAGTGGAAAGGGTAAGCTGTCTTTTTAATGCTTTACATGGGAAGGGGAAATATTTGTTCTCTGTAACTACATATATCAGTGGACTACAGAATTTTCATTGTTATGTTCCAGAGTCTTCATACACGTTTTTGTTTGTATACCTAGTGTATTGCATCTTGTCTGCTTGCAGTCAGAAATCACTGTTTAGAAGTGACTGGTTTCTTCAGTTCAGTGCAGTGTTGAGTAATTTGATGCTGTTTTTTTCATTGATCCTTTTGATGTCTAGACACTCTGTTCTTTCTGCAAGCTTGCTTTGTTTGTGTACCTTCCTAAGTGGCTCATCTGTTCTCTTCCCAGTTAACAAAACTTCCAGCTTTCCATTGACATATTTTACAGTTATTCTGCAGTACATGGAAAATGTGAAGACAGTGTAAAAGAAATAGCAAGTAGCATTACACACACAGAATCTACGTTAAATAACACAAAGAACACTTAATTCTTTTGTGCATTTTCACATTTTACTTAGTGCATTTACTTTTATGCATTCACACATTTTACTTTCACAATCTTAGTAAGAACTTCATTTTCTAACATTTACTTTAGCAGGCAAAAAGAATCTCCTATAAGATGCCTGACAGAGCTATAGGATGCTAAAGTTGGGATCAAGGTTGTGATAAGAACTTGGAGCCTTGATTAAGGCATGTTGTTTCGTGTTGTACAGGTGTTAAACTGCTATGGTGTATGTACTTGACCCACCTCATTGTGGCAGATATAGAGGTGCTTTCTGGAGGAGTTGCATCTAGAGTAAAACTTGGGAATTTTTACTGTCCCTTCAGTACAGGTGGATAAACTTTCTATAGTGGTCTGGTATTATTACATTGCTGTCATGAGTTTGATCTTGGTGGTGGTTACCTATCAGTAAGCAGTAAAGAACCATTTGTTTTTACATCCTGTAGTGGAATTTTTCATGATGAATGGTTTAGGTGGAGATGTGCAGTATATAAATAATTTAGTTGCTTACCCTGAAATGAGCAGAGTTGGTGTAAACTTTAGCAAGTGTTTACTTTGATGTATTAGTGCAATCGGTATTTTATTAACTTTTGGTAAAAGGACTATTAATTTTTATTTTCCTAATCCAAAACCTGAACGTTTGAAGAAAATATTTAGTGTTCTTATTCCTTTTCAAAATTCCATAAAGCTGTGTTGTGTACTGTGTAATATCCCTCTTTACTGTAGGAGACTAAACAGTTAGCATACCTTAGCATGTTTGCCATTAGTAATGCTTACTTCTTCAATACTTTTTTGGGGTTTTTTTTACTAATTTAATAGTAAAAAATAAACCAAGATTCCTGTCAGGGCATGATTTTGAATTAGTGAGGTTCTTTTCTAAATGTCTCACTATATTAATTGATCAAATGGGCAATTCTTATATTTCCCCCTTTTATGTGAGGTTTCTGTGTTGCTTTTTTAACTTTACAAAAAAAATATTAAATTTTTCTGGATTTCCAGTAGTGATTTTGGAGGGCCGTTCTTTTCAAAGGAACTACAGAGCTGGGGTATTGGGTTGCCTGTCTGGATGGCAGTTTTGTCACTAGGAAGGTAGGTAGGAGGAGAATATCTGTAGCTTTCTGAAAATTTTGTATCTGTTAATATGGGTTATAAGGGACCCCCAAACCCAGCAGTCACTCTTCAGGGTTTTGGTAGCAGGTGTATCATTTCCTTTGAAATGGCCGGCTGCCTTTCTCCTTGGCTGAACTAGAACAACAGCGTTCTGTCCTCTAAGCTGCAGAGAAGCTTCTAAGCCAAATGTGTGTGTCTGGATACCAGTTCTTGGGATACTCGAGAGCTTTCTTGGGATGCTCTAGAGCTGTCTGAACTCATGAAGTGTTTGCCTTTATCTTTGCCAAGAAATGATTTGCTTGAGCACGGCCCGGGCTGCTAATACGCAGAGAGACCTGGCTTACCAGCTCCTTTTGTTTCTCTGTGGCTGTAGGACTATGTATGAGAGCAGAATTTGTGACCCATGAGATACGTGCTGTTGTGTGTTGTTGAACTGAAATGGTCACAGATTCTTTCTTTATTTTTGCTACCAATGCATGGCACTAGGCTATAGGAGTTGAAAACTTGCAGGGTACCAACTGTGCAAGTTGTCTGAGTGGATTAACAGTTTGCTGTTAGCCTTGGTCATGCATTTTTAATTGTTCAGTTGTTTTAATTGTGCTAGTTTACTTATTCTGCTATTGATTTTACTGTGTAAATAATGGACTAACATTAATCAAATTATGCATATTTTATTTTCTGGTCCAGAAAATAACCAGTGGGTTACTGAACATTTGACCAACAGAATAATTTATTAGACTGATATATACGTGAACTATTTTGATATCTTCACATGCCTCTTAAAATGTAGAACTGGGAGTTTTATTATTTTATCTTGTCTTCATCTGTCACACACCGTGCCCTATATGGGGGCCTTGATCACTGTATGAATACTAATTGGCCCTGTAAATGAACAGTTGCCATCAAATAGCCTGTCTGCAGGTTAGGTTTGTTCTCAGTTTCTGCCTCCTGTGATACAGTTGATACTCAGAGGTGGTGTTTTCCCTGATGTGAGCTGAAAGGATAGTGGGGCAAACATCCGAAGAAAAGCTCATGATGTAAAGTCACAGGGGCACGCAAGGACTTGAGAGAGTTGGTGGGAAGAGGTTTGTGCCAGTTATAAAAGACCTGCTGGGGAAGTACTTAGTGCTAGTTGAGGTAGCTGCTATTAAGTCTGTGCTTTTGGAGAGCAGAAAGCAGCAGGAACAATTGGGTGGTACAGTGACTTATTTTAGTACACAAAGTCGCTAGCTAATAGAAAATCTGAATCAGGTAGTCCCACCCTGGTGCTGATGGATGGCTGGAGATTAGGATCGCTGAATTTAGGGTGTCTGTTCTTGGCACTGATACAGGAAAATTTCTTTCTCTGTTGAGCAAGGAAGCTCCCCCCTCCTCACCTTCCCTGGGGAGGCATAAAAAATAATAATAATTAAAAAATACATGTTACCTTCACAAGAAGTGAACTTTTCCTCCAGAGAATACTGCTGGGGAAAATTAACTTCATAGCTTCCTGAAAGGCTGGAAGAGAGGGAGGCAAGGGCATGTTAACATCCGCCTTCCCGGGTTCAGCATGGGGTGGAAACAGGCTCTCAGAACCAGGCTGTGGTGGAATTCCATAGTGCCCTCTGTAAAACGCTGCAGCTAATCTGATGTGGGCTCTCCCAAGCCCCCTGTTTACTGCTAGAATTAAAATAAATTCCCTGCAGTTTAACTACCAGTTTACCCAGGAGAAATCAGGCATTTATGGTTTGGCTTTTTGTTCCTATTCTGATTAATTTCGGACTACTAGTGGAATAGTAAGAACTGCAAATTCATTAAGTTCCAGCACCACAGTACTTTTCTTTTGTGCCCCCTGTGCACAGCACCCCCCTGGATTTTAAAGGGGTTTTTTGTTTGTTTTTTAAATAAAAGAACAACACTTTTTCTCAAAGATTTTTTGGCTCTCTAAGAGTAAGTGTGACACTTTTGCTGTTTCACATAGAAATCAAATCCATGAACTGGGTAAACACCGTATTTTTAAAAGGTAAAAAAATAATACTTAAACTAGCAAGCAATCTCGAATTAGTGCATGTCAGTGAAAAGTCACTCCTGTGCTTCCTGGTTTTTCTCATCTAATCAAGTGATGGTAAATTTTCTATAAAAATTTCAGTATCCTTGCACTTTTTTGTACTGCTCACTGTTTCCTTTTGGTATCTTGCCTCTTTGATGCTAAAACTTGAGTGGTGCCCTGGCAGAGAAAGAGTCAAAGCCTTACCACTGTTTTTCACCAGGAACTTTGAATTTACCTGTCTTCAGTGTATCCTTGAGCCTCTCTTTTCATATCATTGCTTATTTATCTGCTTATTATTATTTTTTTTAAGGTATATATTGCTGTAGTATCTGAGAAATTTGTCTTTAAAACACTTATCTGCCTTTTTGGTTAAGTTAGTGTTGTCTGAGATACTGCATAGTGCAGGAAACTTGCTTCTAACCAGGATGGGGCATTTTGGGATCTTCTGCACCTATGCTGGAGTTGGGTCTTGGTTATGAAAAAGTTGCACAATTCAAACAGGAGTTAGGATTTTGTCTGATGTTTTTGAACTGCTGTAGAAGTGTGTGGATGTTCATGTTTTGGTTTAGACTGGAATTGGTTTTGGGGTTAGAGTAAGTCTTTAGAGGTTAGTTTTAGGGAAAATAAAAATTTGCCATTCCCTCAGAACTAAGAGGGCACTGGTAAAGCTTTATGTTTGCTTAACTGATGATTTAAAAATGATGTAAAATACTAGTCCAATTTTCTCTTGCAAAGAGGACTTGAGACAGAGGAGAATTTCAGTGGAAGGAAGTTTGAGCATCTTTCTGACGTGGTTATGTGAAAGCCTGCCCTCTGGACACTGTATTTTTCCAAAACCTTGGCTGCCTGACAAATGTACTTTTGATAGAAAAAAGAGCTAGGCTAGCAACAAGTGGCTTGTACTGATAAAAAGGTAAAAGCAGGGCTCGGAGTGCTATTGTGAACACCCATGTTGCTTTAAGGAGTGTGATGTGGGAATCTTGGTAAAAAAAGGGCAAATGAGATGCTGTGAAGGAAGTTTATCCCTGTGAACTGGCATAGGGAGGTGGCTGTGAATGTGGGTTTGCTAAACTATAGCAGGTCGGCAGTGCCTGGAGTCTGAGACAAGCAAATTATGAAGATAAACAGCAACTATTGTCCTTGGTCTTGTGCTTCTTGGGACAGGCTACTCGCCTGTTCTTCGCAGTTCTGAGGCCAGAGAGGCTTGTATTAATCCAAACACCGTCTCTGAAATATCTTCCTCTCGGAGTTTTACCTCTTTGTGGCGTTGCAGATTAATTCCAGTCTGACTCATGAAGCAGTTACTGACTTGCTGGGATAAATCCTTTGTATTTGTCACGTTATTTGCTTTTTGGCTTCCATGGACATACAGGTTGAGTGCAG